AACACAATATTTTGGTCACATCATAAGAAAAATCAAAAGTATGAACTGCTCCAACTTATAATCGAAGGCAAAGTCAATAGTAAAAGAGGACCAGGAAGAAGACGCAACTCTTGGCTTAAAAACCTACGGCAATGGACGAACATGACCTACATAGAACTATTCAGGGCTGCTACAAATAAGATTAAATGGGCAAATGTAATGGTAAACGTCCTTAAGGATAAGGCACCGTAAGAAGAAAAAGATGTTCATTATCTTTTGACGATTTCTACTTATACAAACGTCTATTAGGTAATTCGAAGAACGTGTTTGTAACAATCATATTATTATCTTCCTCTTTGATTTCTATTACCCAATCCAAATTTCCCACTACGTTGCTTATGTTACCTTTTCCAATTTTGGCGTTCAGGTCACCCATTATTATTGTGACAATTCCATCTCTTCGTCATCTTTTTCGGCCGTTTGGGGCATAGACTTGAATTATGTTTATTTTTTTATTTTTCGTTTTTAGTTGTAGTAGCATAACTCTTCTGAAAGAGGTAGAAAATTCGGTGTGTGTCATTATTACCCGAATAGTATATCGTATGGTCTCTAACTTTCTTCTTCTTCTTCTAGTTACATGACCGTTATCGATCGTTGGATATCATGTTGGCTACCATATTCGCTATCGTGACTTTATTGACAGCAGCTCTAAATAACGATATAGTTGATTTTCCATACCATTGCCTTAGATTTTTCAGCCATGATGTTCTTCGTCTACCAGGACCACGATTACCTGGGATCTTTCCCTGAATGATCAGATGTAAAAGATCATATTTTTCAGGATATCTCATAATGTGACCGAAGTATTCCAGCTTTCGTTTCTTTATTATATTGACCAGTTGTGTTCTTTGGCTCAGCCGTCTAAGGACCTCCTCATTTCTAACTCTGTCGACGCAGCTTATTTTTAGTAGTCTTCTGTATACCCACATCTCAAAGTATAACAAGAAATTTGACTGTAACAAATATTGATGAAAGAGTGAAATGTAACAAAAATGAGGAATGTGTAGCAAAAATGTGCAGTGTAGCAATAGGGTAAACTCTAAAATGTACCTTGATACACCAACGAACTAATATGTGGAATAACAGAAGATGGAAGGGATTAGATAGAAATAAATTATGTAAAAGAAATAAATAAAGGGTAAATATGAATTTTAAAATATAATAAAATTAATGCTGGCTAGCGACTATGCAGGAGAATGACCACTTGACACTCAAAGAGGGATTCGGCCAATTTGCATGCCCTACAGAGACCGTAAGATATAAGAATTAATGACTAGAAACTACCAAGAAATAAACAGATGAAAGATAAAGTTGCTCTACTGAATGTTTGGGCGCCAGGAAGTTAAATGTTTTCTTCCGAGATATCTTGTATTGCTGAAATATAAAAAGTTGGGTATTAATTGAAATATTAAATTTTTAACCACAACTTTAATAATTACCAAAACTTATGTACAGACTATGTTAAATGCTTATCTATGACCCACCACCTCTTATGTACAATTAACTTATCTATATTTACAGTAAAATCCCTGATATAATTATAAAACAATTTCCCCCCTAATATACCTCTTAATTTTAAATTCTGACAAAGGTTATACTCAATAATTATGTATAAATAATAAATATAAAAATACTACTCACTAATAATTTAGTTTTCGTTTAATAAATGTTTAAATTTTCAAATGAAACTCTCCGGATATGTGTGCACACGATAACCTAACAAAGAGAGATTCAAGGGAGAGTTAAAACCTCATCCCTTGGTAGACAATAAATAATTGAAATTAAGTTATAATGACTATTGTTTTAGAAAAAATTGAATGAATTTATTATTAAAGATATATATTTTAAATTATAAGTGAAGCAAAAGTTAAAACCTTGAAGAGGATGTAGCAAAAGTTATAAAAAATATTGGAATGAGAAGCAAAAAAAAATAAAAATAAGTTCTTCCTGCCGGTTTCCGTCGGTTGATCTGGAAGATGATCCGGTGAAGAACTAGATTCAGGTGGGTACAGGTACACCAAGCCTGATTTCATGTATACAAATTCTTCTTTAAATCCCCATATAAAAGCCCATAAACTTAAAATTTCTTCCCCTTTTCTTAATAAATATAACCCAAAACTAAAAGTTTCTTCCTGACTTGTGACTGGATTCCGGAAGTAGGCTAAAAAAAGGAACAATTGTGTTACTTCATGTCCTTTGTACATACAAAAAGGTATGAAAAAACACACAAGGTTTATCAACCTTGAAAGGTGATACAAGAAATGTCAACAAGTGACCTTAAATTGAAATAAAAACCTTAATGGTTTTGGTAAATAGTGACCTTCGAATGGTGTGACAATGTTTTTTATAAGATAGTTTTAACGGAAAGCGTGATCTTTCTATATTATAGAATAGGAAAAAAAAAGAAATATTAGCCGGTTTAAACGGTAGGAACTTGAAATAAATAATTGTTTGCTTTCATCCTTGGAAGGAAATAAAATTTGAGATAGATATGAAATCTAATACTTGTAATATATTTAGGTATTAATGAAATAAGGTGAAATATGACATGTATAAAATATGTGAAATACCTATCAAGAAGGAATTAAAATAGATTTGAATTTCACTGACAATGGCGGATGGTATGAAAGGATTTTTTTCATGTAATTTATTTATAATTTAATCTTACCGGCTGAGGTGATCCAACTTAAAGTATCTTCAAACAACAACAAAATAACAAATGGCTTCTTCTAAAGTAACGGTTCTTCATAAATAAAAATAAACTTAAACTAAATTCGGGAAATGGCACACCCAGCCGCCACTAATTGATCGAAACGATCTTTATTCGATCAAACCCAGTCAACAAGTGGTTCTATTAACACTTACAAGTCGTCAAGTCGACGTACTTTCAGAATCTTACACCAGAGGGCGGGATTTAATGCCAACCTTAGAAAGTAAAATTTACTGGGAGTTATTTAAATATTCAGTTTAAGAATATTTCAAATATGAATTTAATTTAGAATTAAATTAAAATACTCCAATCACAAAAAAGGTAAACGGTTATTTAAGTAACGGATCGTTACAAAAGGCTGTCAAGCGTTTAACCATAGCCTCAGTTAGAGTCCACGCTTCCACTCCATACAGCAGGACAGGAAAGATGTAGCAAGATGTCATACGAACTCTAAGGTCAATGCTAAGATCGTGACTGCAAAGTACGTTTCTCATTTTTACAAAGGCAGCTCGGGCTTGTTCTATTCGGCTTTTAATTTCTGCGGTTGGATCCCAGCTCTCATTGATATTACTGCCGAGTTACACGAGTTTCTCTACTCTGTCCAGTGTGGCATCTCCGACTTTTATACCGTCATCCTGTATATAATTTTATTTGCTAACTATCATATATTTAGTTTTCTTAACGTTGAGTTTTAATCCATACTGATCACAAGTCTGTTTTATTTTGTTCATTAGATTTTGAAGGTCTTCTCCGCAATTGGCAAGGACTAAGTTATCGTCGGCATATCTAATATTGTTGACGGTTACTCCATTCACAATAATACCTTCGGTTGTCTCCATTAAGGCTTCCTTAAATATTTCCTCCGAATATAAGTTAAAAAGTAAAGGCGACAATATACAGCCTTGTCTCACTCCTCTTTTTATATTTATTTCAGCCGACAGTTCTTGTTCACCTTTATTCTTGCCACTTGATGCCAATATAGATTTGTAATTATTTGTAGATCTTTATCGTCCAATCCAGCTGTTTCCAATATTTCTAGCATTTTGTTATGTCGGACTTTGTTAAAAGCTTTTTCAGAATCGATTGCACAAATGTACACATTTTGATTTATATCTCTGCATCTCTGTACTAGCAACTGTATACTAAACAAGGCTTGTCTTGTACCCAAGCCACTCCTAAACCCAAATTGAGTATTGCTAATTATGTCCTCTAGCAGCGTGTAAATTCTGCTGTGTATTACTCGCAAGAAGATCTTCAAAACGTGACTCATCAGACTTATTGTCCGATAATCACCGCATGTCTTTGGACGATGTTTCTTAGGTATTGTGACAAATGTCGACTTTAACCAATCAGTTGGTAATATCCCAGTGTCATAAATTCTGTTGAAGAGATTACACATAGCTTTAATTCCATTTCCTCTCAAAAACTTTAGTATTTCAGCACTTCTTCATCGGGGCCAAGTGCTTTTCCATTTTTTGCCGTTTGTATTGAACGTCTTACCTCACTTTCTGATATAGATGGACTGATATAGCAATCGGTGTATAGTGTTCTACTCTCTCATCTTCAAATAATTCGAAATGTAGTTTTCCCATTCTTTTACTTTTCATTGATGTCTAATATTCTGTGTCCGTTTCTGTCTTCTAAACTTTGGGATACTTGTTTCCGTCTGTTTCCAGCGACCTCTTTTAATTTCTTGTGCGGATGAAATGTATCGTGTTTTTTTTTTCATATTGTCCAATTTCATTACATTCTTTACTATGAAATTGTGTTTTCGCGTGTCTTATCTTCTGCCTGATTATTGCGTGGATCCTCTTGTATTCGTTTTTACATTTCTAATTAACTAACGTCTCTAACTGTACATTTTCCATTTTCTATTCATCGGGTTTCACTTATTCCTAAAGTATTGGTTTCCCGTTGCCTTCTGTATTTTTATGCCGTTGGCTAATGTCTTAGCTCATCCTCCTTTAGGGCTAGTTTCGTAACCCTAGCACAAAGGAGTGCCCTGTTACTTACCAGCTCATCCGCCCAAAGCCGTTGGCCAGTAAGTGATGGGATTGCTTATACTGGCAATCTCTCGGTCTTATCTTTCATAATCTTTCGTATATCCGAAAGGAGGCTGTTTGCTTCCGGAACATTTTACCTCAGGAGCTTCCATCATTTTGGACATTTAATGCCATACTAATAAAAAATTTAGAAAATCAATTTGTTGTGTTTTGTAACAATTTTTTGTTAATTCTTATCTATTTGACAGGTATGGAACACGACACGAACGAGTGCGAATGTCCGGACGACCGTTGCATAATGGCCCCGAGCAGCTCCACCATCGCTCCGAAACATTGGTCCTCGTGCAGTCTCAACTATCTTCTGCAAGCGTTCACCCACGGGATGGATTACTGCCTAAAAAACAAGCCTAAAGCGTTATTCGATAGCCCCGTTTGTGGAAACGGGTTCGTGGAGCCGGGCGAGCAATGCGATTGCGGCCTGGAGGAACACTGTGATAATTATTGCTGTAACGCTACTACGTGTATGTTGCATAGTAACGCTAGCTGTGCAACAGGAGAATGCTGTGATCTTACGGTAAGTTTTCTTAATTGATATTAATAGTTTCTTTAAAGTTTTCAAGTTCTTCTTTAAAATTCTTTATACTTTTAAGCTTTTTTTTAATCGTGGAAAATTGTATAAACTAGAGCGTTGTATAGTCTTAATATAAATGTAATGTCTTCTTCTTTTTGTGCCACTCCTATCGAAGATTGGAAATCATCAAGGCTATTCTGACCTTGTTTACGGCTGACCTAAAGAGTTCATTAGTGGTGCAGCCAAACCACTCTCTCAAATTCCGCAACCATGACATTCTTCTACGGCCTGGATTCCGTTTTCCTTCTATTTTTCCCTGCATTATATTTTGAAGTAATGCGTATTTAGTCCTCTCATCAGGTGACCAAAATATTCGAGTTTTCTTCGCTTTAGCGTTAACAAAATCTCTGGGTCTTTTCCTATTCTTCGTATTACTTCACAGTTTGTTATTCTTTCAACCCAACTAATCTTCAGCATTCGACGGTAGCACCACATCTCGAAACTTTCAATATTTTTCATGTTGTTCTGTTTGAGAGTCCAGGCCTCTACACCGTATAATAGCGTGTTAAATACATAGCCTCTCAGCATTCTTAATCGTAGAGGGATGCTTATATTTTAAATGTAATGTAAATAAGTTTACATAAATAATAATAAGTAAATATGCATAACTATGTATTGAACCACTTCCTAGGTTTTGAAGCTAAGATATTCTTTTTCTCCCTGGTTCTCTCTTTCCAAATACCTTGCCCTGAAAAATGAGTTACAATAAGCTATATCTGTGTTTGTACAGCGAATAGAGCTTCTCGGGTGCCTAAGGTATCGCGGAATCCAAATTTTGTCCTTGATACTTGTTCTTCATTTTTATACAGGGTGAGTCATGAGGAACTTTACATACTTCTACCATATGTAGAGTCCCTCAGGGAGCATATCATGTGGCCACTAAAAAATGTCAACTCCTCTTCTTTATTAATTAACAGGGTGATTTGTGTAATTGACCATTTATTTCATTTTACTGTAGTGTTTATACGGCTCATTTGATTTTTTTAATTTTTGCATGATACAGTACACTACTATCAAGCATTCGACTGGTATTAGCTAAACTAAAAAATTCCAGGACTGGCTTTGGAAAAATTATTTAGGATTCGTTAAATATTACCCTGTATATATTTTTTTTAAAATGCAATAAGTGATTTTCAAACTACATAAATAGCCAATGAAAACGACATATGCGACAATGTTGTCGCACTTTTATTAAATTTTTAGTGAACGATCAAATCTTACCAAAAATAGAACAACCATAATGAAGTATCAAATTATAAGGTATTAATTTAAACAAATGTTATAAATTTCAAACATTTTAATTAAAATGAGTTCCTACAACATAATCTAATACGTAGAAAATTAACATCTTTACTGTCACTTTGTATTATCTCTACGATAGAATCAATTGTTTTTCAATTTTAAATTTTTACTCATAGATCGTATTGGGGCATTATTTTCGATAAATAATAAATTAAATTGATTAAAAAGTCAAACCTCTTGTATGTGTTAGTTTTTGTTGATTGTAAATGATTAAAATTTTATGTCAAATAATAATACATTGCATCAACTGTACTAAATAAAAATAAATCTAAAAAAGTTTAAAATGAAGGTTGGCGTTGACCGTTTGACGTTTCTTGATATTTTATACCCATTGTCATTATTGTCATTATCAATTGTTATTTATGTGTACAAGAATACATATTTCTTCTGTCATATCTACGTTAAGTACATTGTGTTAGTTTTGGTAGAGCTTTTGTTACTTTCGTTCAAAATGCCACATCAGTTTTCGACCACAGAATATGCAGACATAATATTTGTTTATGGATTCTGTAATGGGAATGGTAGGGCTGCTAGTAGAGAATATCGCAGGAGATTTCCTAATCGTCGAACTCCCAGTCATCCAACATTTGGGTCAGTTTTTAATTATTTGCGAGAAAATGGCACTTTTCCTAGTGGAACAACAGAGCGACATGTAGATGAAGCGCAGGAAGATGACATTATGGACGCCGTTACTATGAACCCTACAATAAGCACTAGACAAGTAAGTCGAGAACTCAATGTTACTCAATCAAAAGTAAGTAGAGTCTTACAAAAAAATAATCTATACCCATATCACATTCAAATGGTTCAGCGACTACATGCTGGAGATGAGATCGATAGGTTGGAATTTTGTAGATGGATTAACAATAATCGACCAACGCTATACAGGACACTATTTACAGATGAAGCCCAATTTACCAGAGACGGGATAAATAATTCACGAAATTCACATGTGTGGGCAGAAGAAAATCCCCATGCTATTCGAGAACGTCGTTCTCAGTTAAGGTTTTCGGTTAACGTGTGGATTGGTGTCATAAATAACCAATTAGTAGGTCCTCACTTTTTTGATGGTCCTTTAACAGGGCAGGTCTATTTGAACTTTCTACAAAATATTTTGCCGAATTTGCTTGCCAACGCGAACGTTGCTATCCGAGGGATGTATTTTCAGCATGATGGGGCACCCCCACACTTTTTACTGGCAGTGAGACAACATCTCAATAATGTTTATGGCAACAGGTGGATAGGACGTGCAGGTCCTATTTCGTGGCCTTCAAGATCCCCTGATTTCAATCCCGTTGATTACCATATTTGGGGACGATTGAAGCAACTAGTTTACGCAGTGAATATTAATAACCGACAACAATTAATTGATAGAATTATACATTGTTGTAATACTATTAGAAACGATCCCCAGAGTATCCGTAATTCAATACGTCAATTAACAATTCGGCAACAAAAATGTGTACAGGCTGCAGGGTTCCATTTCGAAAATCTATTTTGAATTATTTTTATTTTGTTACCATTATTGTATCTTTTCCAGTTCTAATTTATGGGTTTATCATAACTATGTACATATTTTTAGTTTTTTTTTTAATTGTTCTTCGTTATTGTTAGTAGTTACTGTTTTTTGTTGTGCAGTGACTTAGTTTATCATTTCAATTAAAATGTTTGAAATTTATAACATTTGTTTAAATTAATTACCTTATAATTTGATACTTCATTATGGTTGTTCTATTTTTGGTAAGATTTGATCGTTCACTAAAAATTTAATAAAAGTGCGACAACATTGTCGCATATGTCGTTTTCATTGGCTATTTATGTAGTTTGAAAATCACTTATTGCATTTTAAAAAAATATATACAGGGTGTAATATTTAATACGAATCCCTAAATTAATTTTTCCAAAGCCAGTCCTGGAATTTTTTAGTTTAGCTAATACCAGTCGAATGCTTGATAGTAGTGTACTGTATCATGCAAAAATTAAAAAAATCAAATGAGCCGTGTAAACACTACAGTAAAATGAAATAAATGGTCAATTACACAAATCACCCTGTTAATTAATAAAGAAGAGGAGTTGACATTTTTTAGTGGCCACATGATATGCTCCCTGAGGGACTCTACATATGGTAGAAGTATGTAAAGTTCCTCATGACTTACCCTGTATATTCTGTTATGTATCACTTTTAAAAACGTTTTAATGAAACGCTCATTAGGCTAATTATTCTGTAGTATTCGCATTTTTTGCATTTAATTTTTTCGGTATAATTACGAAGATCGAGGAATTCTGTATAAATTTGTCAGGCTCCACAGCTTTACCATCTTTAGTTTTTATAATAGTTGCCGTGACTTCTGAATGAATCTAGTTTCTGTGTAATAGCTGTATTTCCGTACATTGTTATCTCAGCTGTGTGTCCTTAGCCATTCTGATTGCTTTTTTGATCTCTGTGCCTTTTCTATAACGTCTTGTATCTGATCTTTAAACTTTCGCCTCTCTTGCATCATATTATCTTGAATCTCATTTGTCATCCACATGGTTTGTGGCAAATATATCGTAGATTCTGAACTTTGCCAGATGATTACTGCAGTCATTCTATCTGCCAGAACTTAGTCTCTTAGTCTATACTACGTTTCACGTTTAGAAAATAACATTGCGGAGATAGGGCCATGTATTTCTTATGGACGATAGCAACGCGGCGTTGCCACGACACACACAAGCACAATTTAGGGTTGTATAATTTGTATTTTTTTTTCCACAAACATGAATTTAAATTAATGTTTTTTTAACGTAATAAACCAAAAGTGCCCATTCGAAACAAGAGATGAAAAGTAGGGAAAATGATTTTAATTAGATAAATAGTATTTACAAAAGATAATTTTATTTTATCTTATTTTAATTATAGTAACGACAGTTTATTTGTTTTTCGGTGAGAATTACGATATGCCATGAATCATAGAAATCAGTAGAAAATATTGACCGCTTGGAATGCGTATATCTAATTACTAATTGCAACTTAAAATAAAACGATGTGCGTATGTCAGCTATTTTATGTCGTTCTCTGACTACATAATGATAATAAGGCTTTTATTTCGACGGTTAAACTGCAAAACCTAGTAAGTCAGTTTTATGTAACTTTACAGGAGAGACGAAAAACGTTTTGGCTTCTTGACTTAACATTCAGTTTTCTCGTTTTTGAGTGTAGGGTTCTTTGAGTACGATTTACTCTTAAGTAAAATTTAGTAACATTGTTTTTTTTTTGTCAAAAAGCCACTTACGAGGTTTTGCAACTTAAAATCTTAAACTGTCAGTAAACTTACGAGGTTTTGTCTCAAAAAGAACCACTTCCGAGGTTAAAAAAAAGCAATAAATTAAATTATTTTTAGTTAATTTATTACATTACATCACCTATGGTATAAAACTTATAAAATATTCTTAAAAACGAGTAGTGACAACCAATCTTTATACTTAAAAAGTAAAAAAATCAAAACCAAAATAGCCGTAGTTTATAAAACTTGCTAATATTCACTATTAAATTAAATTCTGTCCATAAGAATAAAAAAAAATAAAAAATAAAAATTGTGATAATTTATAACTGGCTAATATCCTCTATTTACTCATGAGCAAGAGACTCATAAAAATGCCGA